CCTTTTTTTGTGGTGTATGTCCTAGAACCACCTACCTATGGTTGTAGGTTACGTGCAAGTAGGTTCTGAAGGCCAAGTCCGTCTTAGTTTGGTTCTTGAGACTGTAACAGATGTTAAAATCGTTATGGCAGTGCCACAAATACAGTTGCAAGAAAAAGTATGTGAACCCTTTGGAATGATATGGATTTCTACACAAATTGGTCATAAAATGTGATCTGATCATCATCTAAGTCACAAAAATAGACAATCACAGTCTACTTAAACTAATAACACACAAAGAATGAAATGTTGCCATGTTTTTATTGAACACACCATGTAAAGATTCACAGTGCAGGTGGAAAAAGTATGTGAACACGTGGATTTAATAACTGGTTGAACCTCCTTTGGCAGCAATAACTTCAACCAAACATTTCCTGTATTTGCAGATCAGACGTGCACAACGGTCAGGAGTAATTCTTGACCATTCCTCTTTACAGAACTGTTTCAGTTCAGCAATATTCTTGGGATGTCTGGTGTGAATCGCTTTCTTGAGGTCATGCCACAGCATCTCAATCGGGTTGAGGTCAGGACTCTGACTGGGCCACTTCAGAAGACGTATTTTCTTCTGTTTAAGCCATTCTGTTGTTGATTTACTTCCATGCTTTGGGTCATTGTCCTGTTGCAACATCCATCTTCTGTTGAGCTTCAACTGGTAGACAGATGGCCTTAAGTTCTCCTGCAAAATGTCTTGATAAACTTGGGAATTCATTTTTCCTTCGATGATAGCAATCCGTCCAGGCCCTGACACAGCAAAGCAGCCCCAAACCATGATGCCCCCACCACCATACTTCACAGTTGGGATGAGGTTTTGATGTTGGTGTGCTGTGCCTTTTTTTCGCCACACATAGTGTTGTGTGTTTCTTCCAAACAACTCAACTTTGGTTTCATCTGTCCACAGAATATTTTGCCAGTACTGCTGTGGAACATCCAGGTGCTCTTGTGCAAACTGTAAACGTGCAGCAATGTTTTGTTTGGACAACAGTGGCTTCCTCTGTGGTATCCTCCCATGAAATCCATTCTTGTTTAGTGTTTTACGTATTGTAGATTAGCTAACATGGATGTTAGCATTTGCCAGTGACTTTTGTAAGTCTTTAGCTGACACTCTAGGATTCTTCTTCACCTCATTGAGCAGTCTGTGCTGTGCTCTTGCAGTCATCTTTACAGGACGGCCACTCCTAGGGAGAGTAGCAGCAGTGCTGAACTTTCTCCATTTATAGACAATTTGTCTTACCGTGGACTGATGAACAGCAAGGCTTTTGGAGATACTTTTATAACCCTTTCCAGCTTTATGCAAGTCAACAATTCTTAATCGTAGGTCTTCTGAGAGCTCTTTTGTGCGAGGCATCATTCACATCAGGCAATGCTTCTTGTGAAAAGCAAACCCAGAACTGGTGTGTGTTTTTTATAGGGCAGGGCAGCTGTAACCAACACCTCCAATCTCATCTCATTGATTGGACTCCAGTTGGCTGACATCTCACTCCAATTAGCTCTTGGAGATGTCATTAGTCTAGGGGTTCACATACTTTTTCCACCTGCACTGTGAATGTTTACATGGTGTGTTCAATAAAAACATGGCAACATTTCATTCTTTGTGTGTTATTAGTCGAGATCAGGAAGGAGGTTCAGCGCTGATAGGAAAACAGAGAATATGACAGCAAGGCAGCACACCTATGGAAAAGGAGAATCCCCTCTAAACCCCTTGGAATACAATGGAGAGAAAAGCACAAATAAGGGTGCGCCTAAGACAAGTAGAATGGATGTATAAAAATATATATCAGAGAGTCCGAGCAGCGATACCTAGAAAGTCCGAATATAAATAATCCACATATGCAGGAGGTAGTCCTAGTGCTACATAAAATGGTATGTGAAGTCCCAGATGTATATCCGCAGCTTCAAAATGGATATGTGAAGAAAACAGAAGACAAGGGAAACTCCAATGGTATAGTATGAATGGTAAATAATGTTGTATATAGAATAGTAGAACTACTCACAATATTCAGAGCTTAAATCCAGCTCTGGTGTAAATGGCACATAGTGGAATAATCCCCACTCAAGGATATACGGTGCACCTCTTTTGTTCTTTAGCAGAGTACTTTGGTGGAGTAGTCCAGCTCGAGGTAAAAGAATAAAATATAGTGCTCACTGTATAGTTGATAAGATGTAAAAACAGAATAAAATATACTCACGGTATATAGAGCAGACGTACTGCTTGGTGGATGGCGTATGGGTGGTATAATCCCCACTTTAGGATTCTTGGTACTCCAATATGGACAAAAAGGTAGTAGTAGTCAGGTGGTATATAGAGCAGACGTACTGCTCGGTGGATGGTGGATGGTTGGTATAATCTCCACCTTAGGATTCTTGGTACTCCAATATGGACAAAAAGGTAGTAGTAGTTTGTGTGTTATTAGTTTAACCCCTTAAGGACACATGACATGTGTGACATGTCATGATTCCCTTTTATTCCAGAAGTTTTGTCCTTAAGGGGTTAAGCAGACTGTGATTGTCTATTGTTGTGACTTAGATGATGATCAGATCACATTTTATGACCAATTTGTGCAGCAATCCATATCATTCCAAAGGGTTCACATACTTTTTCTTGCAACTGTATCTGCTTGGCACAAAGTGCACTCAGCCTACATTTTGTGAGCTTATGCACTGAGTGTCATATGTCTGATTAATGGAACGTACATCGCACATATGTTGTACGTACCAAGGAAGCAATATAATACGTTGTCTTTGTCTCGGTCTCTGACCCTGCCAGGGGAATCAGTATACCAGGTCACCAAATAAAGGGAAGATATTCTTGAACTTGCAGTTTGTCTATAACCACGCCAGTAATTCTGAAGATTTAAATTAAACCGTGGTGTGAGTATATGGTATATATTCTTGAGTCACATAGATCCACATATTAGGTAGAGTAGTCACATAATTACATCACAATTTAGTGCCCGAGAGCAGCTCATATCTGACTTATGTGCTTTAAACAGTTGTTTCCACAAATGTATACATAACCGGTTCTGCATGAATTAAATGAATACTTTATTATTCCTAAAGTAATATATAACTCTGACCCTTTTTTTAATATGGCCATTGTTAACACATCTCACAGAATTTGAAATATACCAGGTAACATTACTATTTATAGGGTGACCTCTAGTGGTTACAACCTGTATTGCCGTCAGCATTGCTGTAATTCTGACGTGCTTTCTGGCTGAGGCTGTGAAGGGCTGGGAAGGAAGCTCTGCCCGTGTGAGTGAACCCCCGTCTGTAGGTAAGTAAGACTGGG